AAGCTTCGATTGTACTTGCATATGACATATACAAATAACATTAATTATTTATAACGTGAATATTACTTACTGGTTTAGGTTATCTTTCATTTTCAGCTGTGTGTGATTATAATAATTAATCCATCTTAGTTGAATTAATTAAGAAATTAAGAAATGATATTATGATGTGTGCATGCCAGTTACCACAGCACTACTACCTTAAGTTATGATTGCTGCCTCCCATGATCCAATCAAGATCATTAGCTACCACTTACTTATGCACAAGAAAAATAAAAATAAGTATAAAAACTTGACATGATACTTATTTGTTCATATATATATATATATATTATAACATTGACCACCAACCAAGGAATGCATTTGACTAAGTTGATTTGGGATGACCTAATTTCACAAGAGACTTCATTTCGTTTATGAATGAAAGCTTGTTTACGAATTGATGACATAATAAAACTGTGCAATTACAAACCAAATCGAATATTGGGATTGATGATGGGGCAGTTTGAAGGTAGGTCGAGTTGCATGTGTGTCACTGCCAAAGACCATTTAGTCCAACGACTTCACTCATTAAAGTCAACAAATATTAGGATTAATAATGGGCAATGATTTCCCCACTCCTATTTTATCCACTTACACTCCATTTTTAGTTATAAAAAAGGAGTGTAAGTGGATAAAATAGGAGAAAAAGGAGTGGGGAAATCACCACTCTTAATAATTAACGATCATTTTTCCGCTCTTTTTTGTCAACTTACATTTCTTTCTATTTTTTATTATAATAAAAAAATAGAATAACACACTTGCAAGAACAAGTCACAAGACAAACAAAACAACATATCTATTTTTTTATGGGGGTTCTTTTGTTATTATTTTTTGAGACAGGAGAAGATCTGATGGGAAGGAACACTACCCCAAAAGGAAAAAGAAGAAAGAAGAACAGATCATGTATCTTTTTCCTCTCCACATGCATGCATAGAGATTCTCCCCTAACCTAGATTTCGTGCAGTTTGCGGTGCTTGTGTGAATGATAAGCCACCCTTGCCTTCCACAAGAAACCACATATACAAAAAGATATGAATTCTTAAATCTGTCTCCTCCATTATATATATATATATATATATATATATATATGTATATAATGGTCCTAGTTAGGGACTATAATGTTTGGCAGCAGAATAGTTAGGGGTTATCATTGTTATAATTAACACTAGTAATAGTATACATACATAATGTCAATTTGCAGTAGCAGAAAAATAGACCTCTAGCCACAGTGTTCCTATTCTTTATTGATTTTGGTCCAACCTGCAATGATTTGAGTTTGACGGTGTATCATGAACCATGCATAATATATGGTTAGATCTTAACAAGTGCTAGCTACAACCTCGTCTAAGAGAAAAGATAATGAGAAACTTCATTAATTTGTTAGGCAGGATAAGAAAACTGCTTACCTGCATTTCATAATGTTAGGGGTGTGATTTCAAATGTTAGGCCAATGGCCATGATAGCACAAGGAAGTTAAGATTTGATTCATGCTTCTAATGAGACCATTTATCAAGATGGCCCAAATTTAGTGCAGAGTCATAAATTCAACAGATGATTCACTGTAGTTTTTTTAAAAGAATTCAGAATTTGGTCATTGGTTGCTTGCTAAAGGCCCTCATCTAGGGTAACTCGCAAGCAGCCGTTTTGTCTTTTGACTTGTACTGGCCAAGCATCTCGGCTACAGTTCTGCATCGGCACTGGTTTCCTGGCCGAATCACATCACCATACACGGCCATTTCAATTATGTCAAGCTCCTTATCTGCAAGTTAAACGAGATACATGATTCTGAGATGCACGTCTCACCAGTTCTAATAGCTGCTACAGGAACGAGAATGTGTCGAAGGCTAGTGCATACATTTGTTTTTTATTTTTTATTTCAACCAAGCAAATCACATTTATGTTGACTCAAGCAGATAGGCTATCAGAAGTTTGGATGATTATTTCTAAAACGTATGACTATGATGACATCAAAGTTCAATAGCAAGTAGTAATTAAAGACTTTAGACTTGCAAGATCTAAATTTCTCAGGAACAAGCAAGAAGGATTCAAGGATATAAGGAAGGATCAGGGAAAAGGGTTTTTATAAGAATAATGGTAGAAAGTAGTTATGAATTTTCAAGCGAACATTTTGCTATCAGAAACAAGTTCTAAGTGAAGGTATAGCTTAATCTACTATGTGTCATTTTCACATTGAATACAAGTTGGACAATGTGCATCCCAATTCCTGAGTAAAGAAATATGCTCCATTCTGTTTAGATAATTGATCATAAGTTAGTGTCTTCTGGATATAAAGCTCAGAACTTTTTCACAACTAATTAAAATGCATACCAGATACCAGAACCTAAGTAAATTTGTACTTCCAACTTAATATCAATCTCAATATGGAAAACCGGTAAGTTTAGGTGCAACTCAACAAAGACCAAGCTAACCAAAGTCAACCCTTCATTCTGTCCCCAGAAATCTAACCCACAATACTCTTAGCGCATCTCCATTGGGAACAATGACCTGACTAGAACATTTACAAAGCATTGGACATATTGAGACATAAATCCCAAATACCATGACAAACACTACCAAGGTATATATGGACCTAAAACAAATAATCTCATTGTGACTATCCCTTCGGACTTTAGACCAGAAAAACAGTTCAAAATCGTGATGAATGCTTTTGGGATGATACCTGAAATAGTTGTCAATGGAATAAAGGTGCATCAGAACTAAACTTCTACAGTTAAGCAACATCACGTAGATTCACGAAGCACCTTCTAAACTTTGACTATAGACATGGGCAGTAGAAACCAATGACATAATAAATTAGTCATGTGAAGTTTATTTTTTGTTTGGATTGAAAGTCATCTGCACTCTTTACTTGAAAATATTTTAGTAATGTTCCCCTTAGAAGCAATAGATACAAGAGGGATTCACTAGTATACCCAATATAGGAGCCCAAATTATAAATAAATAAAAAAACTCTATATGAAATGAACTTTAGAAACACACCCAAAGCTCATTTACAACATAACAAAAAGGCTTTTAACTTCTTTTAAATTACAAAACTGCCATTGATTTCTTAAAACAAACCCACCCCAAAAACCTCATAAAAAAGCCCAAAACACTCAATAGGGCATCAAAGTAATTTAATAATCAAAATTAAATTCAATAGGGTCAGCTGTCCTTTATTGGATTTTTTTTTAGTTTGTTTATAGAACTTAAATGGTGTAGGGTTTATTTATAGTTTTAGTGCTAAGAATGGGTATATGACTAAATATCTCTAGATACAAACCATGAGAATGGAATGGTGTTTACAATTCAATGACCAAAACTATTTTGCTCAACCCAATAACCAGAACATGGAAAGTATAAGCTAAACAGAACGGAACATAGAATCTAATATTAGTAGTGAACAAGAGAACATGGAAATCAGACCTGTAAACTTGACATCACAAGAGTAACCTTTCAATTGAGTTTTGTCAATCTGGTCTTTGTCTGATTTGAATCTGTTCACTCTTGTTTGAAGAATCTGACAATTGTCTTCTGTGGATTCACCACCTACAACAAAATCCCAAATCTCAATGAACTCAAACACCAAATTGGTTGACAATCAAGGCTACTCTTTGTTTATTTGGTGAACTGAGGAGTAAAGAACTTGATGTAGAACATCAGAACTAATTTTGAAAGTTTATGCCTCCACAACGCCAAGGTTTTGAAAAAAAGTCAAAACCAAAGTAAATTACATTATATTATAATGAGTCACCGAAGTCCTGTATTGTTACTTACGATGCCACACAGCAACAATTGTAGAAAAAAGTTCAAAACTTTTAGTTCTATATATTGTTTCTTTCCCACCATTACTCAGCACCAAGAATAGAATTGAAAAAATACAGAGGGCAAGTAAATTTCGAAAACAAGACGCGACATGATTGCAGTATTTCAGAAGCAAAACACAAACACCAATATCGAAATTGAGCTCAAGCAACTAGTATATGCAATCAAAACGCTAAAACAAAAAACACTCAGTTCACAAATCATCAAAAAGGATCAAAAGATTGAAACTTCCCAGAAAGAAAAGGAAAGGATTCAGTCGAAAAAGACAAAAGTTAGGACCTTTGGAGAAGGGAACTATGTGATCGTACTCGAAGCAGAGGCAGCCCTGGCAGTTGCAGAAGCGCTTACAGACAACGTTACCAGCAGCGTCTTTGCGCCACCTCTCAGGGTGTCGACCTGGCACTACATCAGCCTTTGCCCAGCAATTGCTCTTTGCTTTTGAATCGAAGAAGCGTGGTCTATCTTCACCCTTGCTCTTGCTACTGGTACCATTATCACCACCACCACGAGAACGGTGAGTCGAAGAAGAAGAAGGTGAAGAAGAACTCATCTCTCTCTCCCCCCTTCTCTCTCTCTGATTGGTTTGTGTGAATTGGACCAGACGAGGAACGAGGGGAAGTTTCTCTCCCAGAAGAGACTAGGGTCTAATCTAGAGAAAACTTGCCTCAAACTGGAGTAATTTGGGGTGCCAGGTCAGATGCTGACCTGGCCTCACAATCCAATGAGATTTTAACACCTGTACTAACTGAATTTATGCCCCCCTCCCGCCATTTCTTTTGTTTCTGTTTTGAGAACAGTACCTCCCTCATTCACAGCTCAAAACTCCCTCAAGCTCTCTCCTTAGCTCCTGTCAAACTCCTTGTAGATGTGTGGGTTGGTAAGTGGAAATTCCCAAGGGCTTTTTTATTTATTTTTCGTCGTTCTAGTAACCGGTGTAAGGTTAATAATTTCGCAATTTTTTGTTAAATTTCAAAAGAAAATAGAACAACATGCAATTGGTGTTGATCAAGCAAGGTTTAAGATCAAATGAGGCTAGTCAACTGATTCATAATAATCATGAACAATCTGATGCCAATAAGTGGCATCAATTTTTCATATGGAATAGCCAAAAAGGGAACAATGATGTACACAATTCCTGTTTTGCTTAAGATTTTTTCTTTTTCAAAAAAATAATGACTGTAAAAATGAAAAATGTCACGCATCCTTAAAAGTCTTCAACTTTAATGGCATCTCGAGGCATTTCATAGGCATCTTTGGGCCTTGATTTCTTCACTCCGGTGGTGAACCACACTTTGTCAGACTTATAGCCCTCGACGCTAACACTTGTGACTTTAACCCAAACCAGAACCTTCGTCTTCATTCCTTCTATTCCACTAAGCTTTCCCCTTGACAATGTTCCTTTGATGCGAATGTTGTACCTCACAACAGATGAGTCCTTGAAACTCACCTCACAGGGAGAGGGCAAGTAGACAATGAGCTTGCCCTTTGATTCATCAAATTCATAACATGTTATGTTCCGGGGAAACAGGCCCGGAGGAAGGTAGTACTCTCGGAGAAGATCAGGCAACGGTTTTTGTGGCTTGCCTATAAAAGAAGAGCAGAAGGGTCAGCTTCATTTATTTTGAAACTACATGTACCTTGAACATCCTCACAAACTTTGCCATTTTAGTAGAAAAAAAAGGTATGTTGTCTGTAGAGGAAGCGGTCACCAACTACGTAGAGCCAGGATCACTTAAGTGACGTGCATTTTGAGTTCACTCTAAGAAGAAAGTATGTTTATTATTGTGAAGCAGATAAAACAACTAGAAGCCATGCTAATTCTGATACATCAAGTGAATTTCCATGTCATAAGTGAACAATTTGAACCAGTCCTGCCAGTTACCAAAATAATTGCATACAGAACACACAGATAATGATGTATTATTATCTTCATCCTGCTATTAAGTAGGCAGTGGGAAGTATCCGAAGCGCCCGCGAATTGGTCAGTAATCTAGGCTAACTCAGTTTCTGTCACAAGTGTTGAGAAATCCAAATATTTCTTTTACATATCTAAACCAAATCATAAATGAAGGATACTCCATAACTAGTGAGAGGTTTCTTAGGCCACATCATGGCCTGGTGACTCTCTACCATACATGCATATTCTTATATGCTATGCTTCTATTTGGTTCTAATTTACTTGTTTGTGGATTTGACCCTGCCCAAAAGGAGCTGTGTATTCCTACCTTAAATTAAATTAAGTATCTTCAAAGTAGCTCTGAATCATGAAATCAAGTGCAGCTGCAAAAATTTGGCAAATGCAGAGACTTGTCTAGAAAAACAAGGCCAACAAAAGGAACTTGCTTTTCAAATGGCTACTTCCAATTTCACTGTTTTCCTCTGTTCTACCTTGCAACAATGTTCCCGTTCTAAATTCTAAACCAATGTCTAGTACTATTGTCTACCCCCAAAAAGTTATAAAAGGTTTCCAAATGAAAAGATGTACAAGACTAAAGAGGAACATCAATACTTGTGAATTAAAATTTTTATCAGTAAACTCAGAAGGAATGATATGTCAAACAACAATAGATAGCACCGTGCTCATGTTCTTGTATTCAGTCAGACTAAAATGAGTGCATTGAGGTTAAGAAAAAGCTCCATACCTTTCAGCTTGTTGAACATCCATTTCGCCTTCTCCTCAACGGTGTTTGAGAGTGACTGAAATGATCATTCACATGTATAGTGTCAGGCAACACAAAACTTGTATGGTATTATCAGCAAATCGAAACACAATCTAGATTTAACAACAACAAAAAAAGATCTCAGTGAAACAGAATTCTAAGGAAGACAATATCTTAAATTCTCTACGGGTCTCCATACAAACCCACCAATTGATAATCTTTTTCCCTTAGCTCTTTGTAAAATGATCAAATGGGTCTTCCCCATTAAGCAGCATTATGTCAAGATTACAGAAAGAGAAAGAACAAGGGCCAAGAAAGCAATACATTCAAGATCATCAAGAAGAATGCAAGAGAGGAAGAAAGAAGAGAGATTGAAAAACCAAAAGAAAAGGGTAGGGAAGAGAGTGTAAACATACAGAGAGATCTTCAGTGATGTTGGAGATCTCTTCCTTGGCCTTCTTGGAAATCCAAAAGCTCCCAACTTTCGTCAGAGCTTTCTCCATTTCTCCTCCTTTCTTTTGGCTTTCTCAGTTCCTCAGTCCTCTCTCAAGGTCTCTCTTACGACTCAACCAGATTGGAAGATGAAGAAGAAGAATGCCTCAGTTAATCTCTCTCCGTCTGTGTGTAGTGTGCAGTGTGCTTGTGAGAGAAAAACAGAGTAGAGATGATGAGTCATATCATAAGCATATGAAATATGAGTGGCAACTACCAATCTGCCAACTCACATGATGCTGCTAAACCTACATCACAAAAATAAATAACAAAAAATTCGATTAATGAATATTAAAAAATTCATTTCCGGTGTTGAAAAGTAAAATTAAGAAGCTGGTTTTTACTCTTATGTTTAAAAGTAATAAAACTGAAAAAAAAAAAAATTGTTTTTTTTGATACATTTTGGAAGAACAAACTCTAACAATACGGATCGATTCATTACAAAGTCAAAATCAGATCATGAATTTAGCTTTATTTTCAAATTTTGATAAGCTTTACTCATTTATTTTTTTATTATTATAACCAAATGGATAAGTTTAAGCTCTATCAAAATTATAAATTTCAAATTTAGAGATTGAAGTTTACATCAGATTACATCAGAAGAAAAGGAAACATGTCAAATTTAAATGGTTACTTCTGAAGTAATGAATTTCTGATATTTGATAAAGTTTTTCCTCGTGCCGTCATGTTGTCAAACCTAAAGGACGATAAATATTTTAGATACATTTTAAGTTAACTATGCTTCCAATTCACTCAAGCTAATAATAAGTGTTAATTATATTGCAAGTTAAGGGAAGATGGGGACGAAACATTTTAACCATTCTCCATTTCATGGTTCAATAATTGTGTACGAGGCTAATGTGCTTATGAGGCCATGAGACAAAATCACATGTCATCCAGTTGGCATTTTCGTTCTCAAGTGAGAAGTCCCATTCGATCGGCTCTTTATATTAAATCAAACATACGAGAATGTGACGCTGATGAACATATGTTAGACTTACGGTCCAATTAAAGATGTTTAGTTCGAAATTTTTAAGGTATATACCATCTTCAACAACTGGACTTGGGACAATTGCTTGCTTAGTCATCTATGTTCTTCTATATCCTTTATCCTTTGAGTTTTGAAGGAAATTAAACAGTTCCAAGCACTAGAAACCAAGGGCTTTGATTTTGGTGATCAATCCAAGGCACAGGCGGAACACAGACTGGAACTTTGTAGCATCCTCCAAAACCACATAAAACCATGATTCATTTTGTTATGTGTCTCCAGAATTCTTGCTTGTTTCAGATAAGTTTTCCCTCTGCTTCCTTTCTCCCATTTCACTCACTCAATTTCAGGTACCATTCTTCAGTTTCCTATTAATTAATTTTGAGGTATAGCTTGTTTTTTTAAATACTAACATAAATTGTAATTGTGTCATTTTTGTTTACAGGATATTCAATTGATTGGGAAGTATGGGAGAGATTGATACCAAACCAATTGAATCAGTCCAGGCTGCTTTGTCTTTGTTTGAAGAGAAGACTGATCACCGGAAAACCCGGCCTACCGGCACCGATGTAAGACCTAACCTTATATGTGTACCTGCCATTAACTTGTAGTTCCAAGATTAGAAGATTCATTCTTTTGACTTTGAATTGTGATATGTGCATATGGTTTTTCTAGCCTAACTCATAGCTTTGTTTTCTAGGCTGTGAATTTTAGAGATGTGATGTATGAGATTTGATCATTATTTTGTAATTTCTAGGGTTTCCAGTTCGAATTTTACGCAAGTCTCAAATTGTGAGTAGTTCTTTGAAATGCATATTTGAAGGTGATATATCCATGCATTGTGTCTAATCATACCAAAACTGAATTGCTCAACACATAAATCTTGTAATGAATTGTATGTAATTGTTTTCTTGATAGGCTGTTTTGGCATGCATTACGCACCTACCATATGGAAATCCTAAAATATTGCAAATCCTTTAAATAGTGATTTGTATATTGATTAATTTTGTTGATCCTCCAACATTCTTTTGCAGGAGGAGAGTGAGAAAGAGAGAGAGCTTGAAGGTGTTTTGAAGGATTTGGCCAATTACAAGGTACAACTGGAAGCAAAGGATGCCGCCTACATGCAAGTTCTTCTTAAGCTGCAACACCACCAGTACACAGCAGATGAACTTTCCATCCTGCTTCAAAACATTGAGCTTGAGAGAGATAGATACATAGAAGAAAGCAAAGAAGCTAGAACTCAGGTGCACCAACTTGAGTCCAAGGTGAGGGAGATGGCTGATCAGCTCTCAGACACTCTCAAGGTAAGAGAGCAGCTTATGCATGTTTTTAGCGAGTTGAAGGCTACACAAGCAGAGCTGCTTAGCATGGAAACAGAACTCGCTGATGCCAGAGATTCGGAGCTCAAGGCTCTAACACAAGCGGAGCTGATGGAAACAGCATTCGTCATGGACAAAGAGAGGGCAGATGAGCTTCTTAAACATGTCTCGGAGCTCAATGAAGCCGTGGTTATGTCAAAGGTTGCTGCTATTGAAGCAGAGAAAGAGAAGTTGGTTTTATTGTCTGAGAAAGATGCTGAGATTGAGATAGCTGCACAAGCTACTCTTCAAGCACAGGAGCAGCTAGAGGATGTGAGAAAACAAATAGGAATGAAGGAGGAGTTGGAGGATCAGCTCCTTGCTAAGTCTTCATTCATTGATATGCTTCAATTGGAGATTAACCAGGTGAATGAACAACTTAGTTTTTCTGAGAAGGCTGCTTCTGATGTCATGAATGACTTGAAGCAGCTAGAAGAAGAGTTAGAAGTTAAGGAAAGAAAGATCTTGGACCAGGAAGGTTTCATTGAGGCACTAGAAATGGAGCTGAATCAATTAAAATTGGAGTTAATTAATGCAAATGAAGTAACCAATAGCTTGAAGAGTGATGTTGAAATTCTTACTGAAGAACTACAGAAGGCCAAAACTGAGATTGATGAGATCAAGGAAAGCGAAAACAAAACACAGGTTGAGATAGCAATGCTGGAATCTGAGCTTCACAGCGGAAGGTCAAAAGTTGCAGCAGCAGAGGCAGCTGAAGCAAGAAATGAGAATGTCAAGTCTGGCTTGTACCTAGCAATTCAGCAACTAGCAATAGAAGCAGAGACAGCCAAGAAGGAAAACAGAATGTTAAAGCAAGGAGCAGATAGTTTAGAGGAAGAAAATCATGAACACTCTATCCTTGTTGATCCTCATTTTAAGAAAGATTCTCAGGAAGATGTTGTGGTTTCTAGAATCGATGAACTGAACACTGAAGCAGAAGAAAGAACTGATGAGAATGAGGCCCAAGTAACAATTTCTTTGAAGGAATACGAGTCCTTGATTAAGAAGGCTGAGCAGGCTGATCAAATTCCTTTGCCACTGGAGGAAGGCTTTAGTCAGTTAAGCTTAAGCACCATGGAAGAAGAGTCTGAGTTGGAATGTTTGAAGAAGGAGTTGGAAGCAGCAATGGAAAAGGTAGCACAATTCCGCAACCGGGCTGAACAGGCTGCTACTAGGGCTGATCTTGCTGAGAAAGCTAAAGCAGGACTAGAGGACCAGATAAGGATTTGGCGACAAGTGAAGCAAAAGAGAAGAGCTGCTCTTGCTGCACTTACGGAGGTATCTACTCCTAAACAATACAGCCCTCCTCCATATGAGTCCCCTAAACAATTTAGCCCTCCTGCATCCGAAGAAACACAAAAAATATGTCCGCCCTTGGGTAAGATACTTAACATGAAATTCTAGTTGTTCTTGGTTAAGCTTAGGCCAGCTAATTGTTCACGTGACTGGCAAATACTGCTTGTTGAATTCATTTGTTTTCTAAGGTTAGTGTATCAGAACGTTGGATCAATAATGCCAATTTCTTAGTGTGCTTATGCGTTTTATCCATGTAAATGTATTCCTTATGCTGCCCTTGCACGTCTTCATCTTGTGCATCTTTTTTTTTTTATTCTTTATAAGCGACCATTTTCCTATACTAGAAGATTCATTTAAACTTAACAAATAGGCATTTTGTTGCAATTTTACACTTCAAGCACAAACGATGTTTCAAAGGAAGATGCTGAAATTAGTCAAAGCTAATTGTTTGTTCGTGTAACTTTCGCTGTTCTCCGAAACAGAACAACCTCAGGCAGCTGCTTCTCCAAAGCAACAATCTGCCACCTTAATATAACTCAGGTTCCTAAGCTTAATAACCAACTACAGTCAATTATGACTTGAAACTCTCCAATATTACTGCTGCTGCCCATTCACCAAGTTTCATTAGGCTTTCGTTGTCCTCGAATTCAAAGTAGCTAGCAGAAAAAGTTTGTAACATATCAGTTTGCACACTATGGCACATTGAGCAGACATAGCACAAAAGTTTGATCCCATTAGTTTCTTGTGCATTGCAACAAGTGCAGTTAAGGAGGTTATGATATGGATGAGAGCAGTACAGGGCCATTTAAGCCAAAATGGATTTAGGGTATGTTTCTACTTAGAAGCACTTTTTCTAGAAGAACCTCTCAAACACATCCTTGGTATTAGAATTTTGGACATGGGGTTTAGGGTTTTAGCTATAGCATGAACATAGTTGATAGTCATAATGTGAACTCTTGAACTTAATTTCTTTATTCATATACTATTATGGTCCAGTCTCCAGTCTTTAAAGTATAAAAGTTTGAACATGAAACTATGAGTGCATATTTTAGACCAAAATGATCACAACTTTCTGCACACGGGTGGGGTGGGGATTGTTGTACATAATTGACCATAGATTAGCAATTAATAATCTTATAATTAATGCACTAATTGAGTTGTATTTTGATTAAAAACACATGATTCACGGATCTTGAACGTAGTTTGTAACACAAACCTTTAGTGTAGTATTGGATAGGCAAAAGTTGAGGAAGTAGTGGTTTTGGTGTTACAATTGGGTTAGGCTTACTTTGTTCTTAATATATGTGGTTTAGCTAATCTATTTTGACTTTGAAATTGAATAGCTGCCTCAAACTTATCTTGATCTTGCAAAGTTTTCAACATTACGATTTGGTAAATTATATGTTTTGTCTCTTCTTTTAGGGATTTTAGATTTAGAGAAAATATCATCAATTGTGCGCCGTATGGTTACTATGATCTTGTTTCCAAGCGTCTGAGATTTATTAACTAAAAATAAATTCCCTTACAAAGTTTCTGTGATCTTGTTTCCAAGCGTCTGAGATTTATTGACTAAAAATAAATTCCCTTTCAAAGTTTCTGTGATCTTGTCTCGGGTTGGATTATTGTCCTTGTTTAGATTTCTTTAAATTGTCTAGTTGAATAATTGAGCAAGTCATGAAAAAAAGTTTGACATTGATTCTCTTCCTTTCCGAACCTCAGTCCAAATTCTCTGTTTTTGCATGCTAATATTTAAATGCACAAGGGCGGCCAATATGCACCAAATTTCAAATCCAATTATAAAATATTTTGCAGAATTCTATATGTCCACATTCGATTACCTCATCACTGCTAGAGGATAAGTGCTAGCTTCAAAACATTTCATTATCTTGTTGTCACACGCTTAATTTCTTGTTAATATTAATTTATCTAGTGGCAAATTAGAAATTAGCTATCTCTATAGTCCAACAAATGAGGGGGGTGCCCATTTCTTTATTTAATTTCATTTATTTATATTGAAATGCTTAAGTTTGAGTCTACACTGCTTGGCATTTTCTTTATTTTTATTTTTATGAATTTGAAGGGTTCTTTTATGTACAATAACATGAATATAAAGGCTTCTTAGAGGACCATCATTGTATTTATATAAAATAAAATATAAAATAAAAAAGCTTTTCAAAATGATTAATTAATTTTCCCATTGTGAATTTGTGATCACAACACTCCAACTAGAAGAACAAAGCTCTCTCTCTCTCTCTCTCTCACAGATTCTCACCCAACAAAGATTAACATAAACAGTTGACAAAACAGAGTCTTCCACTTTGACTTTGAATTTATTAATTACTTGATTAAAATATGCTTTATGATATAATTAAATCAAGCAAACAGTGACTGCCCACGTCCCCAAGCACATGTATACATGGAATAGTTTCCCTAGCTTTGCCGTGAACCCAAATCAAAGATCACGACTGTTGGCCAACCCAGATGATACTTGCATGGCCCACTTACCTTTGAAAACTCATCACAAGCCTCTCTCGAGGACATGCCATATCATATCTTGGCTTAGAAACTAAACAAAACCATGAAAATGAAAACAAATGAAAAACATCTTCTTTGACCGGTTACTTTGATTTCCAAGGTTTTACATGCAGAAGCAATTTACAAGTCTTTAATGTCATTTTCTTGGAAAATTTTCTGTCTGCTTTGTCCGGGACTTCTTTGCTTGTTTTGTATAGAGTATGCGATATGCTTGTCTCAACAGAAACTATTGTTGATAAAAAAAAATAGATGACTTAGATATCACTTTTCCTTGAAGGTACGTTTGGGTGCGCAGAAACAAATAATTCTTCTGCAGAAATAGTAGATGTGCACAGTTGAAGAAGACCAATAAGCAGATGTGCTCCTTCTCAGATCAGATAGTCAAGGTCCCATCTAGAAGGTTTTTTTGTGTGGACAACCTCTCATCTAGAAGTTGTTGGCAAGTATTCTGCTATTGTCTTATGTATAAATGGTTATTTATTTATTAATTATGTCACTATATCATAAGTAGCCAAAGATTCTGATTTTGACCATATCATTGTTGGCTTCATTTGCAGTCTTTATTTATTTGAACAGCTTGTATTAGATCAAAATGAGAAGTTATTACCAAAGAATTATTCACATAATTATTTTCAGGGTGTACTTATTTTTTCATGCAGATTAACAAATAATTATTTCATGTTTGCCTCTTCTTTTTTAAATTCAAATCTTTGTTAGGTCAGCAAATGGGCTTAACGAAATCGACTAGAGCGGATGTGCTCCCCACTTTATATCCGAGTTCGAATCTCCTTATCATCTGTGTAAAATAAAATAAAAAATCTTTGTTAGGTGAGCCACCAGCTTTAGCATACGCAAATTGTACCATATGCTTGCTAATGAAATTGTACCCTGCATTCCAAGATTTGTCTTCCTAAGATTTGACAACACTTTGGTTACAAGAATCATCATGCAAACTATTACTATTATTAATTGGATTTTAACATGAAGGAAACGGGTCTAACTCAACTTCTATGTGGAGAAAATTTTACAGCAAGGGTAATTATGATTTTCCCAAGGGTTTTGCATCAAATTCCAAAACCATGGGTGTCCTTTGACTATGAAAATTATTATTCCTTTTGTCTAACTTTGTTTGGGTTGGTAAAGCAAACACAACCAACAAAATAACCTTATTTTCTCAATTATATTATTATTTATAGCATATGATTTCTCCAAATACTGCAAATAAAAATAAAATAAAGAAAATGTCAATTCTAGAATCCAAAACAAACAAACGTGAAAGCATATAAGACATGGACACGGGACTCTTCTTTTCTGTGTATTTTCTTTCTCTCTCTCTCTCTCTCTCTCTCTCTCTCTCTCTCTCTCTCTCCTGGGTCCTGAGTCAAATGCCAAGCCGGTTTAGGTGAACCGGTCAACATGGGCGGCTCAACGGCCCCTTACCTCATTCCCAGCAAGCAATTCTTGTATTAGTAATAGTAGAGCTTTCACTAATCAACACAATTAACCAACATCGTTAACATTTTCAACCAATAATCAATTCTCTAATATTAAATTAAATCACTTAAATATAATTAAAAAAAGAAGAAGAAAAATTCGTTGTTCCAAGGCCTGGTTTCGTGTAAATATGCAGGCTCTGTCTTCAAAGACATTCCAACATGTTCAACTTCCACACGCACATTCATAACCTGTAAATTATAATTCTTTAATTTTTTTTCTTCTTGTTTTTATGAGAAAATTGTTCATGCGACTCTAGCAATTGATGAACACCAAAGCTTTTGCAAACAACAATCCGAGAGGCCAGAAGATCATGCACTGCTCAACCAAGGAGACTAATTCATGGGTCATATTGTCTTCCATATTCTTAGCCCTCCTTGTCTTGATCACAGCAGGTACATGTTGAGATTTTTGAGATTTTTTTTTATATGGGCAGTTTTATTTTCTGTTTTTAATTTAAACCCATGTGATCGTTTCCCGATGATGATTCTTTACAGCTGCAAATATGTGCAGGCAATCATAGGTTAGTTTTTCGAGGATTCTGTTCTGTTTATAATAACAAGTACAAATTTGTTGTTTTTGTCTTTGACAGAAGCTTCTGTTGTTGCCGGAGATTCTCTAGACACAGACAGAGAAGTTCTGCTCCGCCTTAAAGCATTTCTGCAACAACGTAACCCAGTAAATCAAGGCCAATACTCACAATGGAACCAGCACAGCAACAACCCCTGCGAGTGGCATGGAGTTACATGCAACAATGACACGAGAGTCAGTGTCGTTGAGCTCTCCGACAACGAAATCACCGGTGAGATTTTCCCAAACTTCTCGGCACTCACAGCACTTTCACACCTCGACCTCTCCAAAAACACCCTAAGCGGAGCTCTCCCAGAAGACCTCAGTAAATGCCACAGCCTCAAATACCTCAATTTATCACATAACATTATTGACAGTGAGCTCAACTTAAATGGATTGAATCAGTTGGAGATTCTTGATTTGTCTGTCAATAGGTTTAATGGGGGTTTGCAGATGAGCTTTCCTGGAATTTGCAATAATCTGGTGGTTGCTAATATTTCAGAAAATAACTTTACTGGTAGGATTGATCACAGCTTTGATGACTGCTTGAAATTGCAGTACTTGGATTTGAGCGCAAACTATTTTACTGGAGAGATATGGAATGGATTCACCAAGCTTAGGGAATTTTCAGTAGCTGA